TCTGGCCTTCACATGCCTCAGAGAAAACTCCAGAGCAGCTTTTAGGCCAATTCCAGTTTCTCCATCCCTCATATGGTTCAAGAGCTTTGCTTCCTTCATCTGTATTCATTGCAGCTTTATACCAAGGTTGAGAGGCTTGGCGCTCAGCCTCATTCCCCGCTTCCAACACCATGTGCAATTGCCCACGCCTCAACATACTTTGTAGCACGCCATCCCTGCAGAAGGGTAGCTGGAAAAGACTGATGGGGAATTTTGGGTGAACTTCAGCTACAGCTGTTTTGTTTTATGGCAAAAAAAGTTATAGCAAATTATGTCTAAAAATGAACACATTCATGCAGTAACACCTCCCTCCTACAATCAAGTTTCATGCTCTGGAGAGCAGAGATTAGGGTTTCTCACGCATTCAATGGAGAAAAACAAAAACAAAAACAAGGAAAAAGTTCAAGAGGAAGATTCTAAAATCTCAGATTCTGTACGTACAGCTGATGCCAAGACAGGCTGAGGTTCTGGTGGACTTTGCTGTTTCCCGTAAGTGTTTTCCTTTTATAGTTCCCATAATCACATGTTCAAACTCTGCTATCATGTGCCACGTCAACCAGACACAAGATGGTGGCAGAACAGCCAAAACTCATGTAACCAGGAGTTACAGCCTGGTTCAACAGACCAACTCAGCCATAACACAATGAAAGCAAGAAGAGATCTTGACCAAATCACACATCATTTCCCCATTTTCTCATTCAGGTATCTGAAGAAATTCTTTCTCTGTAGTTCTACAATTGAGGTAAACAGAAAACTGAGCAGAGGAACTCAATGCACAAAAACCCAGTTGCCCAAGTAGCACATCTTGACACAACTCAGGTTAAGTGGCCATGTATGGAATCAAGGATCCTAAGACATCAGGCAACTCCTTGCTGTTGCTGGAGACACAATCTGGGGCACGTAGGATTCCGGCCATTAAGTGTGTGGGCATGACTTCTCTCTCAGCCCCAAGTCCATGCCAGGTGCCAGGATAAATGGAGGCTGTGGAGTCAGCAACAGGCCACTGTCACCACTCCCTCTCCAAGACATCACAAGAAACTGGTGATCAGGATGGACAATGTGGGCAGCCTCATGATATCATGCACCCTGCAAACAGAGGCAGAAACTCTAGAACCTACTTCATGCTAAAGTAATCCAGCATGCTGAGCTCTCTCCTTCACACCCAGAGTTTCTGAAAGCTCCAGCCTCAGATTGGCTCCCTTCCCATGAGTTAACACTGGTCATGGCATGTAAAGACATGTCCACATGGTTTGGTGTATCGTTCTGCTCACACCAGGTTTGGAGACAAAAATCACCCCCCTTTTAGTGCCCTGACCCCAGCTCCAGCAGCTCTAGACTTGCAACCTCTGCAGTTTCCACGGGACACTAGAACTTCAATTTCTGGATTCTTCATAAGGCTCACCACTGCTTCATCTAACCTCTAATGTCTTCTCAGAGTTCAGTATAACACAATTTTGTTCCCACAAGGAGCTTCTAAATAATACCATGACCCAACACAATGCTACAGAGTCAATCCCCAAGACTCACATGCACTGCTCAATCTCTTTTGAGCTAGGGCTCATGGCTTGAAAGCCAGAATCAAGGCTAGATGCTGGTGTCACACTACGTAAGAACATCTGCATAGTTATATGGTGGAACACACATAGCCAGCCAACGCTATGCTGGCTGAAGCTGGGCTAAATCTCTCCACAGCCCAGGAAAGTGTTTTCATTATTTTACAGGCAGCAATGCTAATGGACACAGAATCATGTTGCAGAATCTTCTCAGGTTTTAAAGCTATGATTTGAATCCTCAAACTACAAAAAAAAAAAAAAAAAGAAGTCCAAGGAAAACCAGTGATAGATTGAATGCTTTTTGTCAGAACTGGGAACAGCTCAAGCTCAGTGAATCACAGAAATTAGATTATTGCCTCTGAAGGCAACAAGCTGGCAATTTACTAAATAGTCTGCTGTTTGTTAGCAGACACTTGCAGGTACATTGTTTCCACCCTGCAATCTGAAAGTATTTTGTACAACTCAAAAAGGTGCAAAGGACTCAAATGCCCCCTCTTCTCCCGGCTTCATCTAACCCTCTTGACAGTACAGTGAAGCACAAGCAGGACAAATACCTGCAGCTCAAAGAGTCGGGCCACACACAGTAAGATGAAACAGTAATTGCACTGTTATCCTTAAAATACTTTCTGGCATTACCAGCTCCTTCAGCCCATTTTCCAGCCTACTGCAGAAGCTCACAGGTCCTGGCTTGTCAGGCATCCCAAAAGGCTGCAGGTGGAGACCCCTCCCACCCCCCACTGCCCCTGGCTCCTGCAGCAAACCTCAGCAAAACACCAAAGACCTGGAGAGTCCCCTTGCCCACAGACAGCACTAACCAGTTTGATTCCCTCTGTACAGCCCCGAAAGAATGCTGAGCTGAGAAGGCAGCATTTTTAAAACATTTTATTTATTATACAAACTATTTACAAAATCAGCTACTACAACCACAGGCTTCCAAATTTTGGCTGAACTCTGCCAGAAATTCACCAGAGGGAACTAGGATTTAACCTGTATCATTAACAGCTCCTGGTTTCTAAATACATGCAACATGGCCTGCAGGTGCAGGCTGAAGCCAGGCCCTCTGCACCTCAAAGCAGCTTCAGGAAACACGGAACCTATCTGAGATGATACCGGGATCCTAAAGATTTCTAACAGAAGAGCCTCTATTAAGTGGGAATAAAGGGTAGAAAGAAAAGTAACAAGCCTCTGCCAGAAGTAACACATAGTATAGATGACCAAAGCACATCCCCATGGCCAGTGTTAAAGGCAGCATAAAAAGTGACTGCATTGGGAAAGGGCATAAAGCTAGAGAAGACAAGTTTAGAAACACTGATGGATCTCAGGAACATGGGACCAGCTGGGGGCCTGTGGAAACAATGAGGATGGGTTTAGTTGACTAAGAGCACCCATCACAGTTCTGACTGTACTTGTGTTAAGAATAAAGTCCTTGGCATCTGCACAGCTGCTGGGAAGCACGGGGTGCCGGCTGCAATGCAATGAGAAGCATTTAGGAGCTCTTTCCAGCAGAGGAAGACTGCCCAATGTCCAACTATTTCATCCTCAGAATAAAAAAGTCCAGCTCAAGAGAAGAAAGGAAAAGATTCCTGAGGAAGATGTCACTGGCAGAGTTGGCCCATAACTACAAGGCTGGAAACATCCTCACTAGGTGACACTGCAAGAAAAGGCTGCAGTATGGGAACAGCACCAAACTATGCCACCTAACAAACAGGAGTTAAGCAGAGCTCCACCACCTCCTCTCAGTCCCTGGAGAAAGCAGTGACGTGGTGGCATGGAGAACACAGGAGCAGTAACTCTACTGACCATAGAAACCATCTGCAATTTAAATAAAATGGTACCATACTCTCCACCCAAAGGATGTCAGGACCTTGCAGAATGGAGCCTGCGCTAAAAAAGGGAGAAGAGCCACTACTAAAGTGATCTGTCAGAGCACAACAGTGGCAACTCTCAAGCTAGCAGCCTCCCAGCACCTCAATGCCAGTGAGGGAATGAATTCACAAGGCAAAGAAATCCCCCTGAGTAGTCTCAATGCTCAGCTGGCTGCTTTTGGCACCAAAATGGCTTATTTTTTTTTTTTTATACAGAAGTAACACATTCAGCTCAAGAATGGCTAAGATGCTGCCTTAAAAACATTTTCTAGATGTAGAATGTTCCCCCCAATTTCCCAGCCAATTCAACTAAGCTATATGGAAAAGCACATACAGTTATCTTAAAATATCCATACTGTGCAGAAGTCTGCTCGGATCAGCTTGAGAACAGCAGAAGGGGGCTGAAGAGGATGATGTGACTTTTGATCTAATACGGTGTTCTAAAATTAGCTCAGAGATGTCAGTCTGAGACTCCATCCTGGAAGAAATCCAGCAAGTCCATAATCCAGTGAAAGCCTGTATTGCAGGCAGTAGCAATGCAGGTTTCTCACACTTAGACTCCTGACCTCAACTGTCTATGGGACTGTTGAGCACTTAAAGATCTTGAATTTTGCTTCACTGAAGAACTCATCAAGATCCCCAGATTCCCCTTCCCTTTATTCCCCTGGGAAGGGCTGAATGGACTGCCAGCAACAACACACCCCAATCACAAGCTTACTTCTCATGCTGGTCTGCCCACTCCTCTCCCCACAAGCCAAACAATGGTGAGTGCAGGCTGCCGAGTGACCACTTGAGTGAAGTTTTAGTTAACTTTGTGCTGGAAAGCCAGCAGCACTGAATGGAACAGGAGGAAAGGAGAGCTGAAGAAAGAAAGGTAGGAAGATTGGGAGGACAGAAAGCCAGCTGTTCTTCAGGCACTGGCACCCTTTTGGAAACTCTGCCTGAAATGCAGTAAAGAGAAGCCTCAAGCTGCTGCATGATAGAGGTAGAAGCCAAGACCCTGTGGGGATGCCAGGGTGGAGGTACCACACTCTGTCCAGTACCATCACCCCAACAACAAATGCAAGCCCAGTGCACACTGTAGCTGCTTACTGACCTGTCACTGTTACTACATAACATACGTACCCTGAAGGTGAATGTGGGACAGGCATTGGTGCTCAGCGTTGAGGGACCACACTCATGCCCATACTCTCTCTCTCCTGAGGAAGGGAAAGAAGGCAAGGGCACGGGACAGCTTCCTGTGCAACATCGTTAATCACTGTCAGAAACATTCAATGGAGGAGAAACTCCTCTTCCAGTTCATTTGCAGAGGCTCATTATCAGCCACTGCTGGAGAAGGATGCTTCTCTTGCTGGACCCTGCGGAGGTAGTACAGGATCACTGTCAGGGCCAGCACTTGTGCTCCGATGAGATTATTCTCCCCTTTGGGTTACTCCCTCCAGTAGATACTGCCCATTGATGGAGAAAGAGAACCAGATACCCTTCTGGGTCAGGTGCTGAAAGGATGGACAATCCTATACTCTTCACGAGTCACAGAGTTAGATGAGCTATCAGGGAGCATCACTGAGGGAATTAAGCCAAGACATGGAAAGTTACTAAGGCTTCCCATGAGCCAGGTTTCCAGCAGAGCTCCATGGTGGTCTTCGGTCTTCCTCCCAGAGAGCTACAATAAAGGCAGCTCAGCAGATCTCCTGCACCTCACTGTAACTTCTGCTTACAAACTTCATCTTCCCATGGAAGGATGGGTGTATAGGTTGCAGGGAAATCAAGTGCAATATCTCCTTGAATGCACAACAGTCATTTTGCTGTTTCACATTGAACCAAAGGGAGAATGAGGGAAAGGGAAAAGATGAGCTCTCGATGACATATTTGGGATACAGAAAGGCCACACGACATCATCTGGATGACAAATTCCTTTACACGGAGTCTTTATTCTGCCTCCATTGCCCACGTGAAGGGAGGGAGAACAACCAGAGGATTGAACTTGGGTCTTGCCATGAACAGCGAGGAGGCTAAGTGGTCTCCTAGAAAGTGGAAATCACAGCATGCCAAAGCCCTCACAACCCTCGCTGATAGCTAGCTGCAGCATTTTGTGCACTTCTTCGTAGGAGTCATAAGTAGGGAGGCACAGCTGGTTAAAACTGTAAAACAAAAAGAAAATTCCATTCAGACTAGATCTGAGAGGAGACCATCAGCTGCTTTTCGATGGGCTGACACAAGCGTCACACACATTACATGTTATACACTACTTGCCCACCACAATTAGCTGCTGTCATTCCCAAAAGCACAATGCAGAAAGTCCTGTCATCCCAGGATACTTGCCAAGTGTGGGCTGTTGGTAAAGTACTGTGAGTTGGAGCTGCAATGATCTGGAAAGATGGACAGAGTGCACCAAACCCTCCTGGGGGCAGCTGGGAGGAACCAGTTGTGAACTGTAAAAGCCTGGCCAGCTCTTCCTGTGTGAAACTGGAGACCACAGTCCAAAACCACCTCATGACCTGTTAGGAAACAGGAAAGGTAAAGCCAGGTCAGCCAAGCAAATCAAATAAGCATATTAGCAAGTTGCAAGAAGATCAGTCAATTGCCCTTGCAAGCAAGTGCTCTACTAATAGTCAACATCTTTTTTTTTTGTTTTAACCAAGGTGACACATAAAGGCAAGTATTACGTTTCTTCTTATCAGTTAAGTGATGTCCCACACTACCTCCCACCGGTCCTTTCCCTTAAAGCAGGGAGGCTTCTGCTCTCCCCACAGAGATTTTATTTTTAGAAATACCTGCATAGACAATGAGGTAGGTTTACAATGCAGAATCTCACTTGCTTCTTGCACTATGCTCAGCTTTTGCTTTTTCACATCCTCTGGTACTTTTACAGGAAGGTGGAACCATCCCAGCATTTACAGTTAGCAGCCTGTACTCCCAATCACTTTTGATTCTGGGTGTTCTGGCAGCTTACATCATTCTTCTAAATGAAGCTGCTACCATTCCTATACCCCTCCCACTGGGAATGGCAGGGAGGGATGGAAACAATTACAGGGTACAAATTTAGGCTACTACATCAGTAGCCTTTACCGGAGCACTGACTTCCAAGCACTCCACATGGGCTGCAATCATGATCTTCAAGTATCCCTCAGAGACAAGTATATCACCATGAACATCTTCAGTAGCAATAATTCCCACCAATTCCTCCTGAAAAGAACTGTCCTTAATTAGTGCTTTTCAGAGTTTCTTAAAAAGACCACTGCTGCTGGATTTTTCATGCTGGTAACTGATTAAGCACCATCTCCAGTCAGCCAGGCTGAAGGATATCTCTAGGGGGAAACACTATTTCATAATGCGTGCAGTCCTACTCCTGACCCCCAAAATCTTCCAGTTTGTCCTTCTGGAAGCCTAATTTCCAACCAAGAAATCTGTTCCCAGTTCAAGTTAGCTTCTGATATAGTTGGGATAACTGGTTTCAGCAAGCAAGAGGAAGAAACCCTTTCACTTACCTTCTCACGGAAGTGCCAAGATCCTCCTACCACTACAGCATGTGCCTTGAAGTCACAGACACTAATATCTCCAGTACCACACATAAGCAACTGAAAGGCAAAGGATTGCTGTCAGAAAGTCAGAAGCCCAGGAAACAAGACAACAGCTACTGTGAAAATTACAAATGTTTAAAATGCTTAGAGAAGAAACATTTTGGCTTTATTACAGATCCAGAAAACCCTTCATTTGTCAGAGAACAGGGGAAGGAAGGGTAGAGATGCTTAGGGAGGCAGCAATTACCTCAAGCTCATTCTCATCAAAAATAGCCAGGAGGTTCTCAGGAACTAACTCGTTAAGACCTGGAAAAGAAGAGGAGAGAAGAGCAGCAAGAGCTATCCCCTGGGACATAAAGGCAGAAAGGAGTGAGGAGCAGACAGCGTGTTACCTTTCAGGAAGTGGTCCACCTCCTCTCTAACCTGACTGGCCAGCCTGTACTGTGCAAGCAGATTTAGGTACAAGATTTTGTTTTCATTGGTCACTGGTACTTGAGCTCCTCCTGTCACCAGTTCTACCATCTGAAAACAGAAGGATAGTTGTGTGTGTGACCACCAGCATTCCTCCAACCTGAACTCCCAACCAGAATAAACCCAAGCAAGGAGCTACTGCCCAGAGTCAGGTCAATTTTCTGGGCCTCCCCTGCTACAGGCAGAAGGGGTTAAACTGTCCCACCTTCAGGAACTGCCTCCCTCACCTTCTCCAGTTGTCCTGTTTTGCTATATTTCTCTTCAGCAAAGACCAGATCCATCTCACTCACATCATTGTTCAGTATGAAACAAACTTTGGATTTATAGAATTCCGGGTCATCCGTTTCAAAATACTGTGTGAAAGAAAAAGTCAGAGACATGAAGGGAATGAAAAAAACCCAACATACAGTGTTAAACAGGACTCTGAATCTCCTTCTACTACATTAACGTTCAACCTCTCCCCAGATCAATACAGGCTTCAGACAAGGCTGGGAAGCTTTACCTTGTAATGCATACGAAGTCCTATGATCTGAGCCAGGAAGGATCGGGTGAAGCGTGCTCGAACCAGTTGTTTGTAAGCACCCCCCAGAGATGATTCATAAAGACACTTTCCGACTAGGCGGCCTGCAAATTCATACACTTTGAGTCGTAAATATGTGGGACGCCCTGGATTTGGATGCACCTGTGAAGAGGAAGCAAAATGAAATATCCAAGTACCAGACAAGACTAGCACAAATACCAAGTACGGGACCAGTTCAGGTCACTGCATCTCTCAGGCTGCGCCAGGAGCTTTAGTGTAATATCCTCAAAGCCAAGCAATAGAAATAAAAAGCCTGGGCCTGCCTAGGAAGAACACAACATGTTTCACATGCAGAGGCCAGAAGCTGTATGAGAGCAGAAATGGATTCCGAAACACTCAGACCCAACAAAACCTCTAGACACTCTGATGCCACCTCCTCTTGCCCAGAAATCCAGCCTTCCCTGCTGACTGGTTACCCTCTGCCATTCATCCAGCCAGCTCAATGGATTAAGATCATTAAGCAAAGCTTTGAGAAAGGCACTGGAAGTGACTGTGCAGGCAAGCTAAAGAATGGGTAAGGCTGCACACCACTTAATGAATTTAGCAGCAGCATGCCAACGCATATGGTTCTATGTATTCAGCATAGGAATTGCAGACTCACCAAGGCCTGGTTGTTATCACTAAAGCGGGTGAAGAGTTGATTGGAGGTATCAAATAACGCCTTACAGATGAGCTCAAACCACTCTCTGCGTGGACCTCCCCAGTCCAGAGCTGTAAGACAAAACAAGCTTTGCCATCCATGAGTCATCAACCAAGATTTTCATGCCTGCTGCTTGCTCAGTATTACCTGACATGAGAGCTCATTGCAGTGAACAGGTCCATAGCAAAAAAGCAGTAGACAGGGACTCCAGAACTCTAGGTTCTGCTCCCAAACCTAGTCCTAATATTTTTTTATTTGGGCCTCAGGTCCCTATGTAAAGTAGGGATAGAATAGCACCAGCAGGATAATTCACTAACATCTGTGAGAAAGTGAAAGGGCCAGAAAGCCACAAAGGATAGACATACTACAAGAAAACAGAATTTCAGACTAAAACCACCCCACTGTCATTCCTTCCACTTCCTCCTCAAATATATTTGCAGGATAACTCACCTTCTTCATCTTGAAAAATAACTTCAAAGTTTTTGCTCCAATCAGAAACAGAAAAATTCCTTGTTGCTTTAAAAGACTGCAAAAAATAAAATTAAAAAAGGCAGTCATTACTGATTGGTACCCCATAACCTATATGCAATCCTGAGCACGTGGATGGGCAATTTAAGCAACACAAAAAACCAAGAAACAGTCTAGTACTCTAAAAAATAAAACTGAGAACTAGGAACTCCTAAGGTCTAATTCTTATTTGTCCAAAGCCACCGAAGCCAATTCCTCATTTTCTGTTCTGAGACACATCACCCACATAGATACAGCTCATCTTAAAATCAGTGTGAGGTCTTAGCACAGCACAGATGTACCCCTCTCAAGGCTGCAGTACAGTATTGTTTAAAGTATTAAAATGTCTGTGGGAAGAAGCAGTTTCTGTAAAGCAGTCTCAGCCCACGAGTTAGATTTGAAAAAAGGAATGTTTCAGAGAGCATTAGAAAATAGCTTGAAGGGTTCACCGGGTTCATACTTGGAGCAAGTCACCATGCAAAAAAGTAACAAAATAGTTCAAGTGTCTAGAACTTCCTGTGTCCTGATTCTGGATTCCAATTAAAGAAAATGTAAGAACCTACACAGCAGTCCTCAGTCATACAGGTAGCTCTGGCTTAGCTTATCTTCAAATAGGTTAGAGCATCATGCTAGTCACACCTCTGGGTTAAACACATTGGTCACATTCATTGTGTCTGTCAACCTTGGACACTAAAGCTTACATATATTATTATTATGGCATTTAATTTAATTATTTTATCTTACTAGGCCGTAACATTAGTGCTCATGACAGTGCAAGAATTTCCAAAACAGTGGGAAAAAATAGTCACAGAAATACTGTTCAGAAGTGAAGTCACTTTGCAGCAAGCTATTGACTGAAACATAGTCTCGTAAACACTCCAAACTCGTGTGTGCAGAAAATATTGCAAAACACAGATTTACTGAGTGTAAATCAAGGGAAATCGCAGCCACTCCTGCTTTCCCCAGAAATGTTCTTTTCGATCTTTATAACATTCGCGTTGTGAAACACATGTGGAAACAATAAGTCAGGATAACTCCCTGCCCTGCGTACACAGTATTTAGAATGTTAGTTAAGAACTGTATTATATGAATGACTCTTTCTTAAATTTGATTTCGGAAACACACCAGCTCAGGTCAGCATCAGTGAAGACTTAAGGACTCTACAGAATATTTTATCATCACACTGAACCACCACTAGAAGCCTATCAATGCAAGAGTTCCACGTGTGCAACTCAGTAACACCTGACTTGACAGCTTATCTCACTGAATGTCTCTGTACCATAAAGACGCAGGAGCTCTAGATTCTGCTTCCAAAACTGGTCCAGGTAGACAGTCTCTCCCTGGGCCTCAGTTTCCAATGTAAAGTGGGGACAGAAGAGCACCAGCAGATTTCCTGTTTTTACAGGCTATGCATGCATTTACCCTAGACACCTTTCAGGGCTTGACTTACTCTGGAATAAGTGCCTTAAAAATTAATCAGAGCTAAGTTTCCTAATTACTTAAGAAATTGATCTGATCTTACTGGCTGTAGAGAAGCAACACAGCATCGTACACCTGGACACAGAGGAGCTACTTTGACATTATTTTTTTTTCCTTTTTCCCATCTCAAGCTGTCTGCTGGCATCTGCCTTGAAACAGAAGGACTAATCATCTTTAGCACTGTTTGCTAAAACACAAACATGCTAGTTTGGATTTCTTTAGGCACTGAGCAGAAGAAAAAGGATGGAGGAAGCACTGGACTTAAGCAAACTGACCTACACACTCACCGACTCCAGTAGACAGTGACGGCTGACCTTCAGTGTGACCTTCGAATGAGGTCTTTTCATATGCACCTGACGCAGCTCTCGCTGAAAGAAGTTCACTTTGTCCTGGAAGGTCTCCGAGCCTCCTGAGAATAGGGACAATTTGGGTCAGGCCTGAGCTGTCAACATCTGAAATGTCTAGAAGGCATTCCTAAGACTAACTGCACAGGTCAGCTTTACAGCCCAAGGATTAGTTTATTATAGCAAGGTTTGAAGACAGAACTCTAAAGGCAGTTTGCAGTTAGTCTTGCTAACATTCAGATACTCACAGGCGCACTTTCAAAAAAACTGACAGAAAAGCCAAACTGAAAAGGAACAGCTGGCATGATGAAATACACTCACTGGAAGCACCAACAGGAACAGAACATGAGACTCCAGGAATCAGAGTTCTCATCAGAGGTCATTCAGTGCTGGCAATCTTCATTCCCCGGGGAAACTAGCAGACTCAGGTGCTAACTTCCTGACTACTATACCCACCTCACCGCCCCTTTACCTATGTTTTTATGCAGAGAGCGAATGAAAGTGGCTGCCAAGATGTTCCTCTCCTTGCAGCTGAGCTCCACAGGGGGTTGGATCCCATCATCCACCACCAGTGTCAGTAATTTGTGCACAGGGTCAGGACCAAGGTATGAAAACTAGCAGCAAAAAGATGCAAGAAAGGGTAAACCCATCATGCAGAAGGCACAGTACGTTCAGCAGACAGAGCAACACCACCTGCACTCTAAGACTTTCTCTGCTCACCCATGCAGATGCAGTTAACAGGAACACTATTTCAAGCATCCGGACTCCAGTGAGGAGGCTGCTTCAGACTTCACACCCTAGACTATGGGCTTCAGTGGACACAATCACAGCATTTTAGCAAGGTTACAAGGAAAATAAGAGAAATGCAAAAGGAATCAAGATTTTTGCCTAGCACTGGGACAAAAGGCAGCAAGGAGTGATACAAATGGCTCTTCTTCATAAATATTAGCAGAATTTAGACACTAAGAGGGAAGTCCAGAGTTTGAATTTTATGCAACAAAATGTTGCTCTGTGTTTGGAAGCACTTCTCTCCCAAAGGAAAAAAATCAGACTCTCATTCACAAGGACCACAAGCTAACAACATGGAGGTGCAGTGACAACTACATGGAAAAAGGCTCACCTTTGTGCCAGGACATACTCTAAAGGTGTAAAGGCGCCATGGAATGATCTTCAGGTAAAATTCTTTCACTGAGAATTGCTGAGTAACCACAAGGGGAGAAAATGTTAAAGGTCACACATCTGTTAAGGGTTGTCTCTGAAACACGAGGCACTGGACAGATCCGTAAGGGTCTGTAAGCCTCCAACACCAGAGACAGATTTCTGCAACATTTGGTGACATCTTCTGGCACAATACAGAAAAACCTTTAAAGCTGTACAGAACTGTAAGCAACTTGTCAGTATGACTTCATTGCATGCATTTATGACACTCGTGGGATTCCAGCATGACACAAATTTTACAGCAATAAGTGATTGTGTTCAGCAGAATATCACCAGTCTAATTGGAAGGTAATGTTAAGTACACTTAAGAGGCTGAATCCAGGACAAGATTGTAATGCATTGAAAAAATGGTTTTGGAAAAAGTCACAGTCTAACAGAACTATTACTACTACTCCCCAATTTTCACAACCGTTTCAAACAACTCTTAAAAAGCACTTGCAACTGCTAAATCCAGGAGATTTGCAGAAATTTCTTCTTGGTGTATTTCTGCAAGAACAAAAACTACTAAGTGGGCAACTGTTGCCATCTGGAGAGCAAGCTAAGATTAAATTTTAGCATCTTTAGACAAAACACAAAACCATTTCCTGCACAAGCCTGTTCTAGCTGCAATGACTGGAAAAAATGACAAGTAGCACTTCTCCAGAAACAAAGAAAATACGAAGAGCATGTCCTTAAAGAAATAACAGCATAGCAACAGTTATCTATTGTACAGGACAGATGCTCTAGGTATATATAGAGATATCCAGGGACACAATTACACAAGCATCAGAATCGTATTAACAGCCTTGGCACCTAAAGGGAACCTGCAATGATACCCATTTTCTGGTGATCTCTTTTACCAGGTAATGCAATAGAAAAGGGTACAAAATTCCAGAACAACACTCCCAGGATGAAAGGATGCTAAACTCACGGGGACCCAGCACTCATTCCCAAAGTCAGTTCTTAGAGCTGCATTCAGCAGAGATTTAGAAATCTCTAGCAATACCCTCCATCTTATAACTGTTTCACAGCCGTCTTTCTCTCTTTGTCAGGAAAGCAGTTCCTGGATTAGTCTTTCACTTTGATATTTATCACTGCATTTTTCAGAATGCATTCAGATGGATAGATTAACAAAGTGAACTTAAATTTATTAGATTTAGTGTAATTTTCTTCCTAGTTTCCCTGAATGCTCATAGGCAATAATAAGGGGTAGTGGTTTCTGTTAACATATTCTTACTTATAAGAAAATCCTCAATTTCTCTGGACTTGCTTGAATTCTGTTTCTTCTGCTTACACGTTCACCTTTTGTTCTCTGACCATTTTTTTTTCCTTTTCTTTTCCCTGAAACCCTCAAGAAACAGGACAAAGACATAAAATCTGAGAATCTAAATTTCAATCTACAGGTCTCAGAAACTGAGAAAGGAAATTGCAGGTCTGACCTGACTGAGCAAAGGAAAGGCAAACAGAGTATCTGTTGAACAATCAGGGAGAAATTACCAGTAGGCTTTCGATCAGACCTAGAAAGACACACCGAGTCCTAAAACTTCAAGGAGCATTTTAATGTTATTCTCAGTCATGAGCTCTAGGTTTGCTGTCTAGCCTTAGGCAAACCCTTTTTAACCAAATCTGAGGCACCTAAATCTGGAGCTAAGATATAGGACACAAGGAAGCTCTTCAGTTGCACTGTACTTCAGACATGCACTCAGAAGTGATAACTTTTTGATATCTACCTTAGGTGACACATAGCAGTACACTTTTTTAGGTTTCTTCACTTTCTCAGGGGTTTGGCTGTCAAACGGGGAATCTTCATCTTCATCCTCAGTTGCAGTAGAAGGACGGCGCTGGGAGGAACTCAGGTGCGTTGGTGGAAGTTGCCACTGAGTGTTGGTATAACTAGGAGCATCGTAAAGGTAAGCTTCAAAGTAAATACTGACACCTGAGGTGGACACATTGCGATCTACAATGTTCTTTTCATTCTCTGAGGAAAACATATAAAGGAGTTGTGTAAATCTTAATAGAGACCAGAATCAAAAAGTAAAATCCACAGACTACCACCAAATTAGTTACTATGATTTTAAAGAAAAAGCTACACATCCAAAGGAAACCCTGGTCAAGTGAAACTCTGTTACCAGAGAACCCAGGAGTGGGATGAAGTTTTTGAGACAGTAGTTTGTCTGTCCTGGCTTCAGACAGTGACTTGTTCAAGAACAAAGGAAAAAGGCATACAGAACCTCTGCCTCAGAGCATCAGCCTGAAGGTATAGCCACATGACAGCCACACTGCAGACTGGCTGACTCACCCCTGCAATAAGCAGGAATTAGAAAATCGTAAAAAAGCACACGGGTTACACATGCAGTGTTCTTCATCCATATAGCTTGACATACAATACATGACTGTCTCACTTACGGTATGGCTCAGATGCCAAGTACCAGCAAGCAATAAAAATTGCCTAATTTTAGAGGTAAATCTTCTGAGACAATTGCTTTTATCTGCTAATGGAACAGAGAGTATCTGCCTTCAGAAATCTCCCTTGTCAGCAGCAAATTTTAAATGAATAGGCATTCCTTGAGCAATTAAGCATGGCTAGCCTGCAGGGAAGCCACGTTTATCTCTACCACACCAGTGTGCAAAGCATCTTCTAAGAGGACAAATGGAAAACAAATACTGAGTAGCTCTGGACTCACCACTTAGAACAATGATGTCAAAATCACCATTGCTTATGGGCTGGTTCTGGTAGGAGATGCAGGCATGGAAACACCCCCTGCAGTGCAAGGTGAGTCGGAAGAACACTTCGCAAGTCTGACGATTGGACACCACAGACTTCTCAAACACAACATCAGAGCTCTCTTCTTCTTGAGGTCCCAGCTAAACAGAAAACAAACTAATAAAGGAGGCTCTCTACCTCACCTGAAGTCAAGCAGAAAGGGATGGTGTTGCACTTACCTCATGGATGGAGAGGCTGTAATTGTGCTCATCTACCAGGGACACAGAATTGGTGGTGGGATTGTCATATTCATCTCTGGGAACTATCTGCAGAGTGTGCTGCTGCCCACAGGTCAGCACGAGAGTGGAGAAATGGCAGACAATTTTGGTTTTGGAGGGAACCACCATCCCTGAAGAAGACAACAGTAGAGTCAAACAAATTCCAAGGTGAAACTACAAAGAACAAAGGAAAAACAACCAGAGGCATAATACCCTTGAAAATTGATCAAATCTAAACACATTCTGTGCCTCTACACTCAAAAACCAGAAGTATCTGAGCAATGAAATGCATGGTGTGGTGCACAGGGTTTGCGTTGAGTCAGAAATGTAATACTGATAAAGCAAACCTGCTGACTAGCCCTCTAAAGAATGCTCTTTCCTCCATTTTAAGCTTGCTCCCACTGCAGATACAAAGTACAAGTCAGCTGACATCCAAGGAAACCTGCAAATTCAGTTTAACAAACTTTTAGCGTGGAGGGTATCGGAGTCAAATCTGACCTTCCTCTTTCTGAAAGGGTATCTTATGAGGTTTTGTATCTATTCACAATGCAATGTAAGGGAGGTACATTCTATGAACATGTACATGAACTAGAAAACATGCCAATTGGAGTCAAAGAACAGAAGTAAAATAAAACAAATTTAAAATGGATAAAAAGGAAATGTTTTTAAAGAAGTGTATAATCAAAGGTATCAGCTGCTGCAAGAGCTTAAAAGAATAGAGTAGGGTATTCAAAAGAAGAAAAGAGTTAAAACATGATAGCATTTCTAATCCAAATACAAATAACTCAATACTTTCACAAAAAGCATTCTCTGGCTACTAGATGGATCATGAAGAAGTTACTACAAAACAGAGAACACAACACAAGTGGTTAGGGAGTTTAAGCAGCACTAATGACTTATTCTGTAAGGCAGTTTCTATTTGGCCACATACTGGTAGTCACAAGTATGTTTTATTCATAGATCTACTGCTGGGACCTACATGCAGCAAGAGGAAAATGGTGTAAGGTAACCCTTTCCCTGTCACCTACCTATTTACCTAACTGCCTCCAATACCTCCAAATCTACTTTGAATCATTACAGGGCCACTTAGATCTTACCTGGCTGGAATACCTTGTAGTAGGGGCTGTAGGCCACATTCAAGCCACCAAGTTTTACAGTGATCTCATATCTCCCAGCCCTGCGCACAGTGAAGGCCACTTTCACCACATTGGAATTAGGCTCCTGAAGAACTTCCTGGGTTACAGGAATATCAATTGCTAACTCCACATGGCAGATGTGAACTCGCAGCCCCACAGGCCGGTGAGCAGGGAAAGGTTGCCCATTCTTGTAGAACAACTGCATGGGAAATAGATAAGTCCAGGTCAGCAAAAACATGCGGCGCACAGAGAAAGAGAAAACAAGTCACCTTGGGCAAACAAGGGCAAGAACTGCAGATCAGCAAAGGAAAAAAAATTAACAACCAGCTCAGTCATACAGGCTGTGTTCTCTCAAGCAAAGAGGGAAAAAGTGGGCACTGAACAACCTAATTCTCTTTTGTGCCAAGGTTCAAATGAGTGCTCTGAAAAGAACATGCCTCTAGGCATTTCTTCCCTGCACTGCTAGTGCGGTATCAGAACAGAAACCAAGAGAACCCACTACCGAAGGAAAAAAGCAAAGCCACATTCTTTCAGAGAAACAAGCAGATCTTATCCATTTGTACAGGTATGCTCTGGAAAAGCTCTCACTAATTTGCCATAGAAAAGAGTGTGGAGAAGATGCTGACCTAAGGAGCTGATCCAGTCTGTACTGATGAACAGCATCAGCATGAAAACAACATGTTAGGAAGGCAACATACCTCAACCGGTACTTCCTTACAAGGAAAGAATTACACCTTGAAACCCTATGTGCATGACTCTTCAAAAGCTGGCAGTTCGTGGGCCAGATCCTGCCTGCCATCAGCAATCAGCCTGCAGTCAGCAAAAGGCTACTATATATTCCCTGTTCCCAAACAGGGGAGGGCATAGGGGCTGAAGTAGCATGTACGTCACTGTCAGTGAGAGAAACCAGTGCATTCAACAGCTACTGTTGATGAATAAAGGACTATGCAAATGGGAGACAAGCATGAAGTGGAAGGCCACATTGCTGGAGCTGCCATGAGTGAGAGTCTGTAAGGTGAAAGGATAGCATGAACAGAACAAGCCCCTTTCCCCTCAGCTATTTTTCACTGCCTGCCATGAAGTTAGAACTCCTTCTCACTCACCCTCAAGCAGAAGGGTTTTCCTTACCTTCCCAAGAAGGATGGGCATGGCAAGCTTGCTCAATCTTTCTTGTTATGATGCCCTTCTGGGTAGGAAGTGGGCATGCGAGCCCAGCAAAACCTGTTCAAACTTTCTACATGTAGCTCCAAACCCTTAGTGACCAGGCCCCTTACCCATCTTATTTATATACTTGTTCCGCTCCCCTAGGCTTGGCCTTTTGGGATTGGAGGGAAACAATAGTTCTTGGCAGGCTTTTCCAGATCAGACAGAATAACACTCAGTTTTGGAGGAACACATTTCTGGAGGGACAGGGAGCAGCCATGAAGCTTTACAGCTCCTGGGTTGGTACAGTGCCCACTCCCACTCTCCCAGCTTCAGCTGCACAACCAAAAGATAGCACCAAGTCTGTTGAAGGCAAGGCTCAGCCCACTCACTTCCCAGTAAAGGGAGCAGTAGACAGGACAAGCCTGGGCTCCGGCTCTTCAGAGGATTCTAAAGAGAGAGAGATAAGATTTTAAAGAGTGCAAACCTCAGATATGCACTTAGAGAGTTCTGCAACACACTTTATCAGGGGCAGAAGACATGAACAGCTTTCCTATTCCTAAATTACATCCAGCTTAGTCCCAATAAAGAACATTTGAAGAGCCCATCCCTAACTCAGAACTCTGTTCCTGCCCCCAAAGCTGCATGGAAACAGAAATATTCCCTTACATGCACTCGGAAGGCCATGCTATGGCCCACCTCATGGGGGTCCTTCCAATCCCAGGAGATTTTGCAGGACCGGGGATCCAGGTAGTTGCCTCGCACGTAGTCATAAATAGTTCGCTCCCCTCGGCGTTCCCGGTCCTCATGCTGAAGGAAGCTGACTATACGTGCGGCAAGCTCAAAGAGGAACTTAATGGTGAAGAAGAAAGCTACCACAGATACCGTGATCCCACCTGCAGCAAGGAGAGAACAGAGGCTGGTTGCAGTAGCACGGCTGAGTCAGGCACCAAAATCCCCTCTGCATCAGCACAAGATGCCTTTTATTAATGACATTCCACTCAACTGCAAATTAGATGTTTAAGGCAGAAGCTATTGTGTGAACATTAATGGTCTGTGTTATGCTACAAGTAAGGTTAGAGAATACCAAGTCCCTTAAAATTCTGCAAATGACTGACAACAGAGGTAAAGGTGGTACAGAGTCTCAGGTATGGCTAGCAGACATACCAACAGAAGCATGTAATTCCCTTTGAGCTGCAAATTAGAACTACAGAGATTCCTTTACGGGAAACAGTAATATAAACACACAATCCCTGCACATCACATTAAGACTGGATTAAGAAGCATCTTGGAGGCAACAACCCTGCACTAGTTCTCAAAAGAAAAAGTAAGGGGATGGCTTAGGAATGAGGTCAATGGAATAGGAATAAGAAGAATGGCGGAGAGGAAAGTTTGCCGGGTGGAGGGCACAGTGCGGGGTGACAGTAACTTCATGTTTGTTAGGTAGACTCTGAACTAACAGCAGAGGCTTTCAAGAAACCCTTCTAAAGCCTATGGAGAGATCAACAAATACAGTGGCAGCCTTTCCTTCACTTACCAATAATGTAAAACATCAGGTCCCTTCGGTGAGACACACAGCCGAGGATCACAGCTTCATCTAGAACACAAAATAGGCCAAGTCCAGTCCAATGACTCCTCCTCACACACACTGGCCTACATTTAATCTATGATTCCTCAGACAAATACCTATCGATCATCTGTCTTCCTCTCCAAGGACATCCCTACAGCACTTTTCCATAAGACTGTGATATATGCAAACAGCACAGCATGCTACAAGGAACAGTTCTCCCTCTATCACAGATTCCCATTCAGATCCAGGGATCTAAAAGAAGGACAACATATTATCCTCAGAAATCAGTGAGAGCAGGCTCTGGGTACTGCAAGAAGGGGCTACTTTTTGTAGGATCACCAACTTCAACAGCAGCCGAAAGCCACTCATCTGAAGTCTCACACCTACTTGCCTCTGCAAGTCACAAAGTTAACTTCTAGTCTGCCATGAAAGCACATCACAGAGCCACCACCAAAATCGACACAAGCTGACCCTCAACCAGCAACCTTAGAAGAAAAAGCTATGGAATAAGAGGGTTGCGGACAAGACCATCCACATCTGTTCAGAATTAACAAAAACCTTCCAGGGCAGACCTGAATCCACTTTTTGCTCTGTAAGTCTACTATGGAAAGTATGAATGCAACTGGAAAACAGTCCATCTGTATTTTCCTACTCACTTCTGCAAAGTGGAGCCTCTCTGCTGAAACTCTTGCTGCTCAACACACAAGCTAAAGCCTTGGGTTTGTACACTATTAAGTTTACAGCAATTTTTAGACACCAATCTAGAATCAAGTTCTCACTGAGGGGACTGCTAAACAAACATGTAGTAAAAAGACCACACCCAGAACAACAACATGCTGTTTGGTTGATAAGACATAGCTGACAGACGGAACAAGAGCAGCAGCAAGGAACGTGTGTGACAATTAGAAAAACAACTTGGCATACATTAATGCATACAATATAGCTCACCATGTCACCATTCAGTTAGTGAGAAGCTACATTGTGCATTCAAGCTGCTTTTTTTTTTTTTTTTTTAAACAAACACAAAAGGGGAGTTATTCATCAGTCATCTCAACAGCAGCAGCAACAGACATCAGCATGCAGAAAGCTTAAATGAGGTATTTCCCCCCAACAATAGCCATGACTTTCCAGCCCAGCAAATCCCCTTTGCTGGCCTCCACAGATATTCCATCCCTCCAACCAAAGAACAATCACATACCTTTACACAAGTGCCCATGTTCTAAAAGCCAAAAGGGGGGTACCCATTCTTCAGCATCCTTCCTCTTTATGCCCAACACTGGGGCAAACATCAGCAAGAGGAGGCCATAGAGAAGATTATCACAGAAAGAGAAAACTCCTGGAACTTGTATCACAGAATCATTGCTGAAATGTGAGAACCCTGAGCACAGCAATTTCTTCCTCTTTGTGGTAAAGGGTTGTCCTGCAACACTGCTCCCTGTAGCTTGCCGCTTGCTAATCTGCCTGGAAAAGGAAGAAAAGGAGAGGAAAAAGTTAGATCTCTCCACTGGTGTGGACAAATCTAGCAAGTAGAAACACGAGAGATAGAAGATGCATGAGGATCACTAGACATCAAATCCATAGGAGAGGTGCTATAAAGGTATTCCTGTTGATGAGGTGCTAGGCTTCAGCATATCCTCAACTTCCACCTGTCAAAATCTCATCTGATTATACAACCTCCTGAAATTAGCAGGTTCAAGATGGAACAAAGCACATTCTGCCTCCACAGGTTTCATTGGGCTCATGGGTTTCACGGAGCAGCCAAGAACCTGCGTGCTATTCGTGAGAAGTGCTAAGCTACGACTTCAAGCCTTCACATCCCACAAAATGCCACGTACTATTCTCAAATTGATTTTGCCCTGATCTAGAGGCCTATTTATAGCAAAGTCTAAAAAAAAAAAAAAAAAAAAAAATTGAAAGTTCTTAGACCCCAAAGCAAACTAAGATTTTTTTTTTTCGCTGTAGTTTTTGGTATTCAGGAAACCAGTATCCTCATCAGGCATTTCAATTCAGGCAGCACTATCCACTGAATTACAGTTTACTGTCAGGATTGAGATAAAAAAATAAAAAGCTAACAGCAAGGATTGGTGCAGCCCACAAAAACTAGGACATATGCCAGAAGAAAAGCCACAGAGCCTACACAGTTATCTACTCATTCAGAACACAGATTATATAGAGGAGTGAGAATGAAATGAACAGACCCAGGCTCACCACAGCAGATGTCTGTAAAGTCAGTCACCTCTTCTGGGGACGTAAGTGACGTGCTCCTGCAGTCTGCCATACCACCACCGCAGCTGCTACTTCCTCCTTACTCCCACCCATCTACCACTTTCTTCAGATGTCTCTTATTTCCCTCCATCCCGATAATCATACAGATCTGGCTGCCTTTGCACACTTCCCCTAAGCTTTCTAATGCCTATGAAAACAGACAGGTAAGTCTGTGCAGAGCTCTTTGCAGTGCAGAAGCAGCCAGACTCTCGCTGTCTTTTCCTCCCCCACGTGTCAAGGAAAATCCCACCTACTCAGCTATTTTCCTCTCTCCTCTGCTTGAGCGAACAGTGTTGCAGTCCCCAGGACGCAAGTTCTCATTCTCCTCCTAGATGAAGCTTCAGGTTTCTAAACTCATATCTCTGTATTAACAATCACAATTTTCTTGGTATTTTAGTTCTTTCACAGTACATATCCAAGATGTGCTACAAATGCCTGGCTGAAACTGCTCCAGCTTGGCCTGGCTGTGGAAGGTGTCTGGCTCCTTCCCACACAGATGAGAAATTTCACAGAAATTTACCAATGTTTGGGAATCTACAAGATCTCCCCCCAGCACCTTACAGAACCACTTTCTTCATGTCACCCAAAAAACCATCAACACAAAACCGGCACTGTGGGTTCATCTACCCAAGCTATTTCTGCCTCAGTTCCTAAGTCTTTCTCTTCTGTAAAGCATACCACAAGTCACACAGCCTCTCTCTCTAAAGTACAAGAAGACCCATCATTTCAACTACAAGAGTTTTTAAGTCAACTGAAACCTAAGTCTTTTGATCTGTTTTGCAGAATTTCAGAGCTTGGGGGACACAGGGAATCAGTTATCTCCCTCAATCAGCACAGGAACTTCTAATTTTATTATCTCTACATGAAGTGGTAAACAAAACACCAAGTCAGGTGGCCACCAGAGATGAAGTAGCTGTCATACAGTCAACTTCCCTCTAGCATACACACTGACAGCCACTTTAAGGATGCTGTTGCAGCTGGGATACTTTGGGGTAAAGAACCTATCTGTGAGTAGCTGGTATCCAAGCTATGTTGCTACTCACTTATCAGAATGCAGATCTAAATTAAAATAGTATCTGTGGTAAGAACTGCCAGCTAACAATCTGGGAAACAAATTCTGAAAATCAGCAATATAAGGTACCATCATAGCTAGGCTGGAAAAAAGTGCTGAATTGTCCAACAGGTTTTAGTGATCTTGATCCAAGGACAGAGCAAGCAATGGTCTCCTGCCATCTGCAGGGAAAATGGGGATTTGGAAAGCTTCACCCTAGTTTGACCCAAGGAGAAGTACTGGCATAATACGGATAGACAGCATGGAATCATAAAAATAAGCTATATTAATGCCATTGCTTCTCTCAAGTCAGCAAGGAAAGGAAGCCCAGTAATGGGAATACATTTTGTTTGTATTACTGCTGTTGTGAAGCCAGAGGAACACAGTGCAAAGCTCCAGAAGGAAGCACAAGTGTAGCTGCACGTACAAAAGGAACTACAACACAGTAATGGCATGTTCACATGGCTACAGCTACAAAGCCAACTGGGGGCATGCTATACAGAACTGATTTACTGAGGTCCTAGGAAATCTAGTATGCCTCTTGTTTTTTTGGTGCACTGATAAATTTGACTTCCTTTCTTCTCTCCCTTAACAAGTTACAAATTAAGATGAAAGAGGAGTTAAAAACCTTTCTGTAGGTTGATCAGAAACCTTTCTGATTCTCTGCATCTCTGCCAAGATGAGAGAAGCCTTCATTTTGGCACAGAACATCCTCTCGATCCATGTGCACAAATGACCACCGCCAATGGTACATGTGTCTCATGCCACGCACAAGACAACAATTCCCTGAGTGAAAAGGCACAGTATTTTCTCACACTGATTAAAGCATGCACAAACCAACACACAGGAGTGCTCATGGGAACCTGACTTTAAAATACACCCACAGAAGACAGAAGAGTTGGTGCAAAAGGCACCGAGCAGGCTTCAGTATCAGCTGTCAAGGACAAAAGGCACATCAGTGGCCAGTGTCCATATGAAAGTCATTCTCCCATGGCGGCTGGAATCTGTCATATTACACACAGGCCAAATAAAATAGTGACAACAGGGGGGAAAAAAAACCGCACATAAGAGACCTTTGCCAACTGTCTAAGTCTAAGGACAACCACCAGGGCTTTGAGCTCCTCCCATCCTCCTCAAATACAGCAAGCCAGCCCGATGGCAACCTTCAGGCAGGTCTCATCTTGACACCAGATCTGCTCCCAAGCCAGAAAAACATTCAGCCACTGGGCACCCTACAAACCCACGGGGAGAGCTGACTGCCCCCTTCCTCGATTATTTCCTTCACCCGAATCACTCAGGCCACCAAAGCAGCACCAGCAAAGCTCCACCAACTGCATTTCCCCCAACCAACAGTTAAGCCTGGTATGATCACCCAGGCAGAAAGTTCAGCTGTGGTTTCCCTAATAAACCCCATTCTCCTTTCACTCAAATTTTCTTTCTCATTGTCAAAGCCTCAGTCACAGTTCTACCGAGGCCAGCACTTTACGAAGAAACTTCTGTGTTGTACCTCGCTGGCTGTGTAGCTGTTTTTTCTGACCAGCACACCAGATAAAACCAGTTGCATTTGGAAGATACCAACAGCTACACTAATCCCAGAAGCTTGCACAAGAAAGGTAACAACAGGGAGGCCTCTCTCTCACCCTGCCCTGCACAGGGCACCAGAAACCAAGAGCTACTCCATGAACTCAAAGAATGTTTCCCTGCATGTGCAGAAAAGATATTTTCAGACAGATTACACCATCACCACCACAGGAAGCACAGCTGAAATTCTGTTCGTTTGCTAGGATCGCAGGTCACGACTGTTGGTAGGAACTACAGATAATGACAACTCTCTGCTCTTCGTGCAGAAGTCCATCAGCCAGAGCTCAGCAAAGCCAGCGTTACGTTAGTTCTTCACGCCAGCCCAGCAAGCTGAAGGAAGCTGAGGCCTTCCATCGCCTCCCAGTTTCACAGAACAGAAAAAAAGGGGTGCAGGAGGGCGATGGGGGTGCAGGAGGGCGACTGGGGTGCCGGGGCTCCCCCTCCAGCCCGCACCGGCTCTGGCGCGGCAGGGCCACCAAGCCCCGC